CATTCCTGCCAGGCCTCGGAGACTGGGGATGTGGGTGGGCTTCAAGACTGGGGTAGTAAATTAACATTTATTCTTTGTAAACCGGCCGGTAAAGACTGGCTGCTTGTAGCCTTCGTGCTAAAAATACCAGGCTCTCTTTCGACTGCCTGCCGAGATTTGTCCCTCACCTTCATCCTGACAAGATGGCTGAGATGATTCTTGCGCGGGGAGGGGGTACTGAAGGTACAGCCTATGTTAGAGAGGTATTCACACCGCTGGCTGGGCTCTGATGTTAAAAAGGCTGACCTCTGGGGTCCCAATCCGCCTGTCTGAAAAATGAGGCCCAGGCACGCCTTATTTTTTAATGAGCCTTAAACTCATTCAGATGGAGGAGGGCTAAGCGGTTTGCTCTGGGGACAGCAGGAAACTCGGATCTGTTAAAATTGGGTCAAGAGACTACTTGCACCACATTCTAGTAAAAGCAACCAACAGGTTAAGTCCAATGTAAGGAGGAGATCTTGAACTGTTCAGTCCATTCCCAGTTTTTTCTTATTAAGGGGGATGCAGTCTGCTTGTGACACCCCAGGCAGCTCAGAGACCTCCTTGCAGAACCTGTCTATCCATTCATCCTCGAGCAGATAGTGGGTGCTTGATTGAGCGCCTGATCTGTGGCCAGGCCCTGTTTTGATGCTGAGGATTCAGCAGTAAATGAGACAGCTGAAGCCTCTTGCTACATAAGGCTGATTTTCGGTGGAGGACACATTATTGCAGGTTGAAATAAATGCTGGGACAAAAACAAAGGACTGGGATAGAGAACAAGAGCTGTTTGTACTTTAGGTGGAGCCAGCAGGGAGAATGTCTTTGAGGAGGTGATGAAGTCAAGAAAATGAGGAGATAGCTTTGGGAAAAGCCAAGCAGAGACATTCCAAGTCAAGAACAGTTTGCCGAGGCCCTGAGAAAGGTAAGCTGTGAATATGTGAAGGAGCTGAAAACAAAACAGTGTGGCTAGAGTAGCAAGCCTGGGAAAAAGAACAAGGATGAAGTGGGGAAGTGGGCAGGGACCAGGCCATGCAAGACTGTGTTTAGGAATGGAGACTTTTTATTAAACCATTGAGGGGTTTTATGCAGAAGACTAATGTGTTCTGATTTTCTGCTGTGTGAAAATAAATTGGGTGGGTGGCAGGCACAAATAAAAGCAAGGAGATAATTAGACTGTTATGGCAGCCCCGGCCAAAACTAATGGTGGTTTGGACCAAATTGGTGGCCACACTAAGGTGAGTAGTTGAAAGATGCTGTTTTGGACATGGACACTGATAGGATGGAGGTAGGGGCAGGGAATAGAGAAACCAAAGATAACGTTGAAGTTTCTGGCTGGAGTAAGCGGGTGAACAGTGCCTCTTTTATTGGGTGGAGTAGCCTGGAGGAAAGGGACTACAGTTCAGGGAGACACATCAAGAATTCTGTTTTAGGGGCTTGCCTGATGGCGCAGAATCCGCCTGCCAGTGCAGGGGGCAGGGTTTCAGTCCCTGGTCCGGGAAGATCCCACATGCCTCGGAGCAACTAAGCCCGTGTGCCACAACTCCTGAGCCTGTACTCTAGAGCCCGTGAGCCACAACTACTGAGCCCGCATGCCGCAACTACTGAAGGCCGCGCACCTAGAGCCCATGCTCCACAACAATAGAAGCCACCGCAATGAGAAGCCCACGCACAGCAATGAAGACTCAACGCAGCCAGAAATTAATTAATTAATTAATTAATTTAAAAAAAAAGAATTCTGTTTTAGTCATGTTGAGTTGAGATGCCCGTCAGAGATCCAGTTCAATTGTCCAGTCACTGGGTGCTCAGAAGAGAGGCCTGGGCTGGGGGTGGGACTTTGGGAGGCATCATTTTAATGATGGTAAACACCTTGGGATCTGAGGGAGTCACCTAGGTTGAGGAGGTAGATGCAGAAGAGGAGAGGGTTCAAGAGGGACCCAGAGGAGTCACGACAGAGGAGCCAGAGCAGGAAAGAAGACTGAAAAAGAGGCTGGGGAGGCGAAAGGAGAACCAGGAGAGTGCTATGTCCCGGAGACTGACAAAGCAGTGTTTCCAGAAAAGAGTGGTCAGCTGTGCTAGATGCTACTTACGGCTCAGATAAGATGAAGAAAGGGAAGGATCCTTTGACTCTGGCCACATGAATGTCATTGGTGCACATGATAAGGACAGTGTTCCAGGAGTAGTGGGGTGGCAGCCAGACCATGGTAGAGCTATAGTGTTTGGACAGCTTGTCCAACAGGGAACACAGAGCAGGGAGAGGTCTAGAAAGGGGTGTGGAATCATAGGAGGCTTTGACAGAGAATGCTAGATGACCCTAATAGCCATTCTCCCCCATTTCCTTTATTATAGACTTTCCAGTTCTAGCTGGCCACATGGCTTCCCTGAATAAAAGCAAGTTTCTAGGACTCCCTAATGGCTGCGTGTGGTCACATGACTCAGTTCCAGCCAACAGGAAGAAAGTGGAGGTGTCCACGTGCAACTTTTGAGAAGCAGCTTTAAAGGGAAGTGGTGTGCTTATCTCAGCCACTGCTCTCTCCTGCTCACTGGAATATGTAAATAGAGCTGCAGCCTGCCTATTCAACTTTGAAGCCATAGCCATGTGTTGAGGATGTTAGTGCGACAAGTTAGAATAAATCCGGGTTCCTAATGTTTAGGGAGCCACCGTACCTGCTCTGGGCTATTACCTCTTAATTTTGTATTTGAGAAAAAGAAATTTCTGTCTTGTTTAATCCTCGGTTTTCCAGTGCTCATAGCCATATCTAATTTTTACTTCTGTTAGGATACAAAGGGTTTTGTTAAAATATGGAGGTTACTAGAGCAAGTTTGAAGAGTGATAAGAATGATGCAGGAGTGACGATTCTGAAGAAAAGGTGGAAGGAGATGTTATGTGAGCATGAATGGTGAGGACACCTCTGGTAGAGGGATGACCCCACCATTATTAAAAAGGGGGGTGTGGAGACAGAGAAGATGTTTCCAGTGAAGGTTGCGATTGGAAAGGTGATCATCCACACCTGATGATTTCTGGTTAACCCTGGATGTAAAGGAGGTCATGAGCCCAGAACAAGGAGAAGAGAGTAAGGCCAGCTTTGTGAATCATGGACCCGATGATGTTGGAGGTCCTGCCAGCCTGAGCAGCCTCAGGGAGACAGCTGCTTTCTGGAGCAGTTGGCCACACTGCTGCAGGGCATGAAGAGGGTGAGGGGAGTGCCCACAACACTGGCAAGGCCTACACCCCTCCCCCACCAGGCCTCACTGACAGTTACTTATGATACTCGCCTGCCATTTCCAGCTGCCCTTTGAGACCCGCCAAGCTTTACCTGACCCATTTTTACAATAATACGGGGTGGCTTCAGAAAGCATCAGGGACACTCAAAGCAGGGCAGGCCCATTTTCTCTTCCTTTCTTAAAAAGTAAAAAGAATTGCAGTGGTGATCATTTTGAAATGTATAGAAATATCAGATCTCTGTGTTATGCACCAGGAACCGCCATAGTGTTGTAGGTCAGCTATATACTTCAAAAAGCAAACAAACTCATAGAAAAAGAGATCAGATTTGTGGTTACCAGAGGTGGGGGGGGGTGAGGAGAAGGGGAATTGGATGAAGGTGGTCAAAAGGTACAAAATTCCAGTTGTGAAATAAAGAAATACTAGGGGGCTTCCCTGGTGGCGCACTGGTTGAGAGTCCGCCTGCCAGTGCAGGGGACACGGGTTCGGTCCCTGGTCCGGGAGGATCCCACATGCCACAGAGCAGATAAGCCCATATGCCACAGCTGCTGAGCCTGTGCTCTGGAGCCCGTGAGCCACAGCTACTGGGCCCGCGTGCCGCAACTACTGAAGCCCATGCACCTGGAGCCTGTGCTCCGCAATGAGAAGCCTGCGCACCACAATGCAGAGTGGCCCCCGCTCGCTGCAGCTGGAGAAAGTCCGTGCACAGCGGTGGAGACCCAACACAGCCAAAAATAAATAAATTTTAAAAAAAAAGAAAGAAATACTAGGGATGTAATGTACAACATGATTAATTAACACTGCTGTTTGTTACATATAAAAGTTGTTCAGAAAGTAAATCCTAAGAGTTCTCATCATAAGGAAAACATTTATTTTTCTTTTATTTTGTATCTATATGAGTTGATGGACGTTCACTAAACTTATTGTGGTAATCATTTCATGATGTCTGTAAGTCATATCATTTTGCCATATACCTTGAACTTACACAGTGCTGTATGTCAGTTACATCTCAATAAAACTGGAAGAAAAAAAAGTACAATGTAACCAAAAGACAAAATAAATTAAAAGAACTGAGATATGGACAGTCCCAACTCATAAAAGGGCTGTATTGTAAACAGTGACTTAGTTTCTGGGCTAGTCCCCAGAACTGTAATTGCCAAGAATATAACTGAATTATTGCACAGACTGCAAGCC